AAAACCATTCAAATTTAGACAAATGATACAAACTCATCCCATAATAGCAATCACAATACATAAACATCATTATGTTACCATCGACCTCTCATACATTTATGACATGAATCTAGTCGCTGCATCAGCTGAGTATCACGTGATAGGATAAAAATAGATCATCTTAATATGACTGTATTGATCGCAAAAGTTCAACGATATACTGATCATATTGTAAACTGTTGTTTATATAACTTGAAAGAAAATGAGTTTCTTAATCTGAAAAGTGCTGGGAGCAAATATAATACATCCAGTAACATACCGAATTTTTGCATTGAATAGTCAAGTTTTAGTAATTTCACGCATACCAACATCCATTTGAGTGAAAAAACAGTATTTGTTTTCAAGACTCAACTTGCTCCCAGCACTTTTCACATACAGTAATGTTCAAATAAAATATTAAAGGAAAACTCAATCCTCAAAAATGGCAGGATATCGTTGAACTTTTATGTTTTTCCACGGCCCTGTTTATTTTCATGCCAATGAGCCGACATTAAAACGCACTGGCGATCAGGATCAAGGGCAGATAATCCTTTCTAAATATTGGAAGGCGCGGTAAATTTAAAAACATTAAACAAACATTTATAGCGTATATCCTTCGATATTCTTACTTGTTTATCAAATAAACATTTTTAAGATTGCTAATATGTTTTTATTATTTTTTATTCAATTTCATGGGTTTCAACGTCATGGAGTGTAAATACTATTACTTCAAACATGCACCACAGGCCTTATGGAAAACGAATTTGCTGTACAAATGCTACAGCACAACAAAGATTTTGTCCAGTAATATCTGTGTATATTAATAAATTATCTATATATACTAGATGAAATCCCGCGCAAGCGCGGGGAATTGAATTTACACCACTACAGACAAAAAATATATTGTAGTTTCTACTGACAGCCTACAGGCTTATAGCAGGAATACTTTGTTCAAAATCCCACAGGAAGAAAATGTACGCCTCCACCCCACCCCACCACCTTTTTGTAAAATCTTGAAAAATAACAATATCATTTAATTGACATTTACTGTGAAACCTGTTGTACAATGTTATGGATATTGTACTTCAGATGCTCTTATTTCATTTCCGCCAAGGATAAAAGGAGTGAATATGCACATTTTACAGATAAATTATTTTTTTTTTTTGGGGGGGGGGGGTCATAGGTACTTGGGTCTTGGTGTATAAATATGTATGTACCTTATTGATATGTAAAAAATGTACTTTACCTTTTTTACATATCAATAAGGTACCCGGTACATACATATTTATATACCAAGACCCAAGTACCTGTGTAAAAATTAGCTGTTTAACGCCCTATGAATAGGCCGAGTATTTGATACAAAAGACTGCTTTCAGAAAAAAAAAATGAAATGTATTGATTAAAGCACAAAATTTTACATCTTTAAATTATATTTGAACAATACCTTATTCATTAATTTTCTCTTTTCATGTAAGCAAGTTTATTACGAAGTACAAATTGTACTTCGGGTTTGTTGCCACGATGCTCTCAGTAAGGAAAATACAAATTTTACCGATAAATTTACAAATTTTACCGATAAATTTATTAGAAAAACCTACTACATATATGTAATAGTCTTTCGATATATAAATATTTTCACAACTTATAGTGTTATCAATGATTTACCATTACTTCAATGACCATTCACACAAAAGCTTTTTTTATGTTCATGCAGCTACATGTACAATCGCTTCGTTTTTCTTTTTAACATCGGGCTCGATGCTATATGATGTTCTAGAAGCTTCCGTCAATATCAAGATTGGCGAATGACGAAAATAATTTGCACATTTCCCTTTTTTAATCGGTTATCACAACTTATTTCTTTTATATCATTTAAATCAAGTTTTGATTGAATAATAAAGTGATGACGTTTTATGAAATAAATAAACGATTGCTTGTTGTCAGTTTCATTAAAAACTGCCAGTAACTTAGATCCGCCAACCGGAAACGCCACCGTACTCACGTTTTTGCTATTTCATGGCTGTTTATAGAAAATAAAAGTAGACTTTTTATTTAATGTGCGACACTTACTATGCGAGTGAAATCTAAATATAGTTTACGGACATCATCTTGTATATAGTGTATTGTCAGAGGAGTAAGTAAGAACTCTGGTGCATCCGTTTCGGAGTTTATTTGCAAAATTTATTAATTTATAAGTATAGATATATATATTATGTGCATATTTTCAACACTTAAAAGAAGGGATCTATGCCTCTTTTTCCCTCGATAAAATTTTTGTGTGCCACTGCTTAGTCTTTGGAATAGAGCATTCAACAGACTGGTATGCAACAATCAGACCTTTGAATAATTTAATAAAATTCAGACATATAAAAAAAACACATATAAAATATATTTCAGCATGTTTTATTTTCAATTAAGAAATTAATTACATGTACATATATACTGTGTCCTGAAAAAAAATCTCAAAACAAAAGACAGTTAAACAAGTAAAATATAAAATAAACATAAAACAATATCAAAGGTGTTTCAAATTATGTAAAATATTCAATATTAAAACTTTCAATCAATTTTAAAGTCAAGAACAAGCTACAAATTTATTTAATAAAATAATGAAAAAAAATAAAACTGCTGGAAAAATTAAAAAAAAAAAATAATCAGGAACTGAAGTACTAAAAAATTAACCTTTTTTTAGTTTTTAATTTTTAAAAAAAAATTTCATGCTATATTTTTTTTAATAAACTATTTATTTAGAGATTATTATAGACAATTTTATAATATGGCTGACAACAACATTGACCTTGAATAACAACAAGCAGTATTCGTAAAAAATAATAGTCTGTGAGTATAAGAAATTGATTTAGTAGCAGCCATTTCAATTAAGGAACAAGCCTCAACATTTTGTTAATAGCAACCAACAGAATTTTTTATTTCAATCAAGAATCAAGCCTCAGAATTCCATTAGTAGTAGTCAACCAATACTCCAACATTAGCAGCCAAACAAAATGTTTTTATGCAAACAAAGATCAAGCCTCAATGTGTAATTAGTAGCAACCAACCAAAATGTTTTAAATCAATCAAGGATCAAGCCTCAATGTTCAAACATAAGAGCCAACAAAATGTTTCAACAAAACAAAAATCGTGCATCATTGCCCCATTGGACACTTGTTGTTAAATAGCAAAAATGTATAAATCCAGTCAACAATAATACATCAACGTTTGAGTAACATTAGTCATGAATTTTTGCAATTTTGCCAAAGTCATCATTGGGCGTAGCAGTAAAGATCCTGAAAGTATTCATTGGTGGTCTTCAAAAGATGCTACACTGCTTGATTCTGATACCAATAAGAAATCGTCAAATGTATCTGCATCATTTAGATTTCATTTCTACAATAGTGTAATGAACAAATACCCAAAGATGCATTTGCCCTATGACAAATTTGTACGTCAATTACCACGAGTTCAAAATTATATCACACAAAATAAGTACTGGAAAAACAACAATAAAGGTAGTGAAAAAAAAAGATTTCATAGCAAAATTTTCACTCCAACAATGGGATGCCCTTTCTCACCATGACAAACAGAGGCATACTGTACATGACTGTATGCCTTGTGAAACCTCACTGATCAATTACTCAGTATTACACAATTCTACCTCAGAAAATGCAGAAAATTTGGTTAAAAAAACAAATGAACTTGTTAGTGAAATGACTCATAATAACAGTAATGGAGCAGAACAACTTCTCAATGTGTTAGAACCTATCATGAAAAAAAAATTCAACACAGATTTGAAGTCAACAGTATCAAAAAAATTTAACTTGATTGAGAAGAACACAAGTGAACAAAAACGAAAACATAAAATCAAAATCACAAGAGAAAGCACAAAATCTATAAGTCAGCTTATAGGAAACAACGAAAATGAAATTCAAAATTTTCTTGCCTCTGGAAAATCATATAGCCAAGCTGACCGAGACAGGTTATCTACCTTCTTTGAAGCACCAAATGTTGCCAGAAAGAGAATAACAGACAATTCTAAAAAAATTTTACAAGGGACAAAGAAGGCCAAGAGGCATATTGGAAACATAGATAATTACCAGTTCGACAGAGAAAAATTCCTCAAATTTATTAGAAATTTGGCACCAGGGTCTAGGGTCATCTGGAGGTATCTTGCCCTCAAGTTTCAGGTAAAAAACAAACGAGGGATAATTCCAAAGAATGCAGGTCAGGTTCTTCAGATTTTTGCAAAATTAAATGGTGTCAACTGTAAACAATTTAATACAGATCGACGGGTAAGTGGTCGGGACTTTCTCCAGAGAGTTCGCAGGGCAAGGCAAAAAGTTTTTCGTAAAGTTTCTGTACCCACCCCCAGACCTGCTAGAGCACTGAGAGAAGAAATTCACAGCAAACTAGGGAGAAAGGAACTGTACATTGGAGAGAGAATTGCTCCTAAAATCTACAAAACAAACAAAATAGATGAAAATGGAAGACTTATTGACAAGGAGATGACAGTGTATGGTAGAATGATTCCTTTAAAAAATATTATGGATGCCATGCTAGACAATCATCAAGACTATCAGAGAAATACCGAAGTAGCTACTTTAACATCGAATGATCTGAAGACAATTTTTAAGAATCTTGGAGAAGAAATGCCAGGCTCAGATGAAGAAGCAAAGGAAAAGCTGCTCAAGTTGGAGAAATCAAGACATCTAAAAATTTGGCATGATCACTCCGACATACTAAATCACAGCTACTTCACCGTTATGATCAGTACCCTCTATGATAATGCCAATTTCCTAACTGATGAAGAGTACATGAAAAGGTTTCCCGAGCGCCCCCCTGTGGACATACAAGGAAAGGTGGAGAGGCCATATCTATATATACTTGGACAATCATCAAGTTCGGATATTGACCAGCTTTCATATATGCAGGCTAGGGTTGGAGACCTTCAAAATTTAAGAATGCAGAAAGGGGAAATCAGTTATATGCCAAGAGTTTTTAGTGGGGATGGCCCTGCTAGACAATTTGAAGCAGGGCATCAAAGGGGTGGGAATTACAGCTGCCTGTGTGGAGTAAGGTCAAAAGAACATCAAAATTTAGAATATGTTTACAGTATTGGGAATCCTTCCTTAGATGATCGGGTGCAGATATTCAAAGAAGGAGAACTATGGAGAAGATTTTCAGTCATAAACCCATCCCCTTTTTCTAATCTCAAAAAGTCAGACCTTGAAGTAGAATTAAAAGCAAGAGGCCATGACATCCATAATAAAAGCAAAAGTGAGATGCAGGAAGAACTTACAACAATTCTTAGAGGTATCCAGAGACCACCAGCACTACTGACAACCGACAACAATATTTCTGATTTGCTCCACCTATATGAGATACCACCCTGCGAGCCTCTTCACGACATCACCAACATTGTACAAAATTTGATATTGGAACTACCCTGCCATATTGGTAATTTAACAACACAAAAAGAATTTGAAAAATTTGCTACTTCAACCATTGGGGACAAAAATCAGCTCAAGGGATCCGATGCCCGTCTGTTTGCAGTCAAGCTAGCCATGTTTACCCATCTAAAATTTTTAGAGAAAAAAATCAGCAAAGAAATTTCTGAACTCTGTATGACTTTAGTGGAAATCATTTCTATATGTTACAGTGAATACCAGCAGAGAACAACAAAGAAAGTACTGCGATTATACAACCTTTGCTTTAAATTCTCCATCCTTTCAAAAACTGTCATTGGAATACCAAAGAAGATGACCACCAGAAAGTTCTTTGGCAGCCACTTTCACAGTTTAACAGTCCATTGTCCTGAAACATATAGATTGTTCTGCCTTAGATCCTTAGTCCCTGAGCAAGAGGAAAGATCATTTGGCGACTTAAGGAGTATCTCATTAAATACAGCTAACAGACAATGTGGAAAGGTTATTGACAACGCAGTTTTACGGTACAATGCTCAACAGATGGACGAGACCAAGAAAGACTACCTTAAACATCAAGAATCCATTGTCAGTCACCAGGCAAAACTCTTGCCTAAGTCAGAAAATACAAAATTTGATCTTGATTTCATAATGAAGAGACCAACCCTCTTTCAAGTCCACTACCAGAGAATCTCGGATTTTATGTATGGTGGAGAGAACATGTGGTGGTCCTTACATGAGGGTGCAGTTATGTTCCATGATGGGCCTGAAGAGCCAGATTTTCATACATACCCTCCCTTACGCCACTTTCGGTCTTTGTCAGACAAGGACCAGCAAAGACTCCTGGCAGAAGATTGGAAGAAGTGTGTTCAGGATTGTGAAGCATCAAAACTCAGCTTACCACTGAACAAAATCAAAATACATGAGGAGGGACAACTATGTAGGACTTATAAGAATGAAGGTACATATACTTAAATTTTTTCAATACAAGAAAAAATCAATTAACATAAAATTAAAAAAAAAAAAAAAGATAAATTCTGCATTACTACATATTTTACAGTAAAACTTAGGCAATTTTCACTGAAATGTTATTGCTTAATTACTGTTAATTTTTACCCCTTTATGACTTTACTTGAATACATGTATACTGTGAATATCCTTTGCCTGGAAGTAACTTGACTTCATTAAATATTTCAATCTTTTTTCAGCATTCATTCGAATCGCATCAACTGTCTCAGAAAAATCACAAAACCAGGAGTGGGCATCAGGCAGAAGCAATGGAGAAATGGCTTTGGGTCATTCCACTGGAGTTTCCCCCACAAGAGCAATCCAAGAGTGTGCACCAGACAGAAGAAAAGAAGCAGTGTCCTTGGGCAATTCGGCTGGAGCTCTCCATGCAGAAGCAGATCAGGAAACAGGTATTTCTACAAAAGCAACAACTTTACATCAACATATTCTCAAAGTTCCTCTCTTACAAACATGAATCTGACCTAAGCAATGAATCAATGAATATTGAAAATTCATAAAGCCCTACATGCATTATTCAATTTATTTGCACACAATGTTGCAGTTATTTAAGAAATTAATTTAATTTTTGAAGATTCATGAGGACATGAACTATGGTGCTTCACATCGGCATATTTCGTGAAGTGTGTTAGCGCTTAATGGTAAATTTGCCAGCGAGAAGCGTCGTAGTTCATGTACCTAATGAATTTTCAAAAATTCAATTCAATTTTTATATCTACATTATTCTGATGAGTTGCCACAAATTACACCATTCAACTGTCATTTTCAAAGCAAAAAAGTTTGCACTACAGTTTTGACATCAAGTACGGTAATTATGACTTAACAATGGAGATATTCATGCTCATCCATGTTAGTTCATGAAGCAAGAAGCCCATGTGCCTTACCAGAGTTGCTTTGGCCCTGCTGTTCTTCACCAGATTTCCCCCTTGTAATTTTGCATATAAAGTGTGTGAAAATATATGGCATTCATGTAAAGGGGTCAAAAGGTTTAAGCATGCATTTTATTTTGACATCACAAACCTTGAATACCGAGGAAGTAGAACGTCAAAAACGGAAATCAAAATTCACGCTCACATTGACCAGAAACTGTTACATTGGTTCTTCCATTAATAGTAGCTTACACAAAGGATAATACATAGTTTTGAAATATAAATCACATTTGCAGTCAAGGCAGAGAATTAAAAAAAAAGTAAATATTAGCAATGAATCATTACTTTTTGAAAGATATAGTCTTGTAACTGCAATGGTTCATGAAACAAATTTTCATAACACGCTAATGCACGATATTCAATTTGATTACACACACTGTTGCATTTACGATACTATATTTTTAAATACTAATGATTCATTGCTCAGTTGAATGCCGTAGCTTACCACACACTTTATAAGTAAACTACATCTAAAGTAATTATACAAAATTAGCATTTTTTTCTGTCAGTTACCTTGAACTTGCCCAAATGCCATTTTTGTGACAAGTATGAGTATGACTCCTAAAGTATATACCATTTCCACAGGTACATGTTTATGTATGAACTATTTATATACATTGCAGAGATTTCTAAAATCATAATGGAGACACATACTGATGAAGGTGGTCCATCCATTGATGCAGGATCACTGCAGCAGGAGCTGATTTCATATCCAAATGTAGTTCAAAGCACAAGTGACACTCAGAATTCAGGTAGTTCTACAAAGTTAATATGAAATGAATAAAAACCAACCAAAAAAATAAACCTTTCTGAAAGTCTTTAAAACAACAACTGATGTTAAAGATAAGGTCTTCCCATTTTCTTACCAAAAGTTGATTTGAAATTGTGAGATCACACTGTACTTGTAAAATATTTTGCAATTTATTTCCCCCTAAAATATCCCATACATCTACTGAACACTTCTGTTTTTCTTTTATATCAAACATATACTCATTGATTTTTTTTGGATGATTTCTTAAGTGTGCCTTCAAGATGCTCCACATGGCACGGGGGAAGCACGGATCAAGGGGTGTGTATCAGAAAAACAGGAATCAGCTCCAACTCCTGATATAGACACAAAACTGAAAAGTGAAGTTAAGAAAACAGGTTAATAGTTTTTCTAAATCTATTTATGCAGTTAATCCATGAAAGTATTTTTTCAAACTTAACACAATCTCAACTGTTTATCACATGAAATACTTCTGATTAAATATGAGCGTGACACTGCATATCCTTTATATGATTTGAATAAAATTGAATTTAAACTACCAGAGGATACTTCCATATAATAATCATAGCTTTGATGTTCTTCAGAGAAGAAGGTCTTCAAAAAAAAATACATATAATATACAATGTAAAACTGTGATCATCCAGGGTTGGAAACTCACTGAAAATAGCAGCTAGCTACAGGACTGGCTTCGTTTAAAAATTACCAGCTCTGCTCAAAATCTGCCAGTCCTGATAAAAATGTTCATTATTATGAATGTATTATAAATTTTGTAAAACAGCTGTTCCCGATCGGGAAAGCAAAATTGACCTAAAATTTTCACCCTGAAATTTCAGATTTTTCTGAGTTTCCCGACTGTCATATTTTGTCAATCGGGATAAGAATATCAGGTTTGTTTATTTGAATAAATAATACATATAGGTTGTTTAATGCATGCAGGTGTTAATTGAAACATGAAAATCACTTCTCGCTTGGACGCACACAGCTGTCCAGGTACAGGTATCTTAGCCTGGAGCAGTTAAAGGGATTTAAACTATTTATTGACAACCTGAAGGGGTATGCAAGATGAACACATAGATTTAGGGTAAATTATCATTTCATTAAAAAGCAAGATTAAATAAAATGAAATGATAAACAAGCAATAAAATCAGAAGCCATATCAGAGACATATAAATGTCTCTGGCTATATATATAGATCGTTTTTAAAAACGAAAGTAGAAAAATGCAAAGCACTGCTGATTTTAATCTGCCTATATTAAAAATATTGTAAAGTTTACAGGTAGGAATAAGATGAAAATAATTCAGATGAATAAAAAAAAAGATTAATTCATGTCAAGTACACTAAGGAACTGGCTATTAAAATTAGCTCGATCACTGGGCTGTCATCTGAGGTTTCATCCCGGCCCGCCTGAGAAACAGACTGCCAGATGGTCAGGCAGGCTATAATTTCCAACCCTGGATCATCTATTGTGGCCCCACCCTAACCCTGGGGTTCAAGGTTTCAGCAAATATGGATCTAAGGACTCTTCCTTATATATTCCTACATAAAGCATTTTGGACCCACCCTACCCCTGAGAGGCCATGATTTGAACAAACTTGATTTTACACTATTATAGGATGCTTCCATGTTTTAAATATGGCTTATCATGGCCTTACTGTGCTTGAGATTTTAAAATATTTTTTTTCATATATATTCTTGTATTTAGTAAATTTGATTCCCTATTGTGGCCCCACCTACCCCCAGAATATCAATAAATACTTATAAATGGGAATTATGTCTAAATATACTGAGTATTCAATACTTACACATCTGTTATGTATTCAATTTCATTGAATTTATTGCTGTTAGGGATGGAATACCTAACTTCTTCATTGCTGATTCAACATCCTACTTCTTCAGCTAGTTTCTAAATGCCTGATTTTCCCAAAGCTTTTCCTTATATACCCTTTGGTTTGGCTAGTCCATTCCAAGGGTTGTCAGGTCATTCCATTATCTGTAGTCTTCAATGCGTTTTACTCAAATGCCCCTTAACCATTACACCTATATGCAGGGATAGAAACTCCCTAAAAATACAACTCGCAAATAATTGCGAGTAACAAAAAAGTGAACTCGCAATTTCACAAGACTACTCGCAATTTTAAAATAAAAGCTTTTTTAAATCTAAAATTAAATACATGTAACTTAAGGATAAAGTAGCTGCTGTTAAATAAACAAAATAAAACTGCATTAGTCTCACTGTGTTTTATTTATATTATATTGAGTTAAATCAAAAGCATTTTGTTCTGTAAAATACCAATTTTATTATATAATTTTGGGTCACTTTAAATGCATGTTTTTTCCAAAGTTTTTCTTGGTTTAATCTTGTAAAATCTAGTTAAAAAATCAACTCGCAAGTTTTTGCGAGTTACATTTTCAACTCGCAATTTTGATATTCTAATTCGCGTTTTGCGAGTGGTATATAGTGAATTTCGAACCCTGTATATGTTTCTATGAAACACTGACCCAATATTTTGACCCCGCCTTACCCCTGGTTGTTGTTACCCATGGATGCTTTATGGCAAGTTTGGTTGAAATTGACCCAGCGGTTCTTGAGGAAAAGTTGTCAATGTGAAGAGTTTACAGACGACGAACGACAGACACTCTTCCATCAGAAGCCTTTGGCTCAGGTGAGCTAAAAACTAATGATAGCTTACTTTTTTGTAGAGAGTCATCAAGCTGGATTTCTCGCTGTAAGAAACACATGTGGTCTGGAAAAAGTCAAAAATTCCACAGCAGGTAAGATAAGGACAACAGCTGGAGTACACAATATTCCTGTCTGAAAGTATTTGAATAAGTATAGCCATTTTTATACTGTCAACAGGTATTTATATCACTTAAATCAGACCAACAAACTGGAGTATTTTTTTTACCCCTTGAATCCCAAGGCTTGTGATACTGCCAGTAAATAGCAGGACCAATTATTATGATTATAAAGACATCTTTAATAACAAATTTGACAAATAATGGCAATAACTATTAAAGTGTGCAACATTTCAGATGACTCTTGCACAAAAAAGACATGCAAAAGAAAGCTCTTTACAGAAGTAAAAGGTATATATCGCAAAGTTTATTTATGAAATACAGATTATATTTTTTCATTTATCAGTTTTCAAAATTTAAAATATTTTTTTTAAGAATTTTTTTTTTTATACATTACTAGATACAGAATCAACTGTCTCCATGGTTACAGCACTTCTGCCATGCGATGATCCAACTTTCAAAGAGTTTTTAAAGTATCGGAGGATTCTGAAAAGCACAAATGACTCATTTTTTAGAAACTCCTATGATGCAGCATTGGCTAAACTACAGACAGCCATAATTAAAAAACACAGAGAGCTAATGGAAAACAAAGACAAGGGAACAGTGCCGCTCATTAAAATTGCAGAAAAACTCTTAGTTCACTGGAATATTTATCACTTTTAGACATATTTCATTACACGATACACAAAGTTTGAACTCGGAAGCAGACTTGAACGCTAATAAACATGTCTTGCATTACCTTGTAATTGCTGATTTTTAAAGTATGTTTTTTTTCTTGATTGATCTGAATATATATATATATATATATATGTATGTATATAATCAAAACACGAATTACTTCTTACTACATTTAACAAACTGAAAGGAAGAATCACAGTTTCTGTATTCATGCATTGAATTGCAACTGTTTGGCATGTGTAAATTATTAGGTTTTATATAAAGTTGTAAAAATGATTATTCCAGCTTTTAAACACAAATATATTTTTGGTATGAATGCATCACATCATGACAAGAGATGCAAGTATGCAATTTTTAAAGATGTAATATAGAGATTCAATAAAATGTTTGTTATATTCAGTAAAGAATACTCCTTATATTCTCTATATGGAGAAGCATTCAACATATTGATATAAGCTCCTCCGAAAAATATTGACGGTCATTTAATTTTCACTATTGACCAGCAAAGAGAGTTTTCCCACATTTTAATTGATTTGGATTCTGATTAGAAGATTGATTGATACTGTTACGACTTCCATAAAACATAACGTCACAATAGAAAAACAAGGGATGAAATATTGCCCAACGCGGAGCAAGGAAGCTAACATAATCAATGTTGCCCGAAACACAGCGATTCAATAAAATGTTTTGCTTCTTTGCTATTTGTCATGGTTAGTTTTTCTCCCCTCGCAATAAAGTTGGAAAGGCATGGTAATTAATCCACTTGTGCATGTTGTGTGTAGTTGAGTGAGTCTGTGTGTGTATCAGTAGTTACACAAGTAAATAATAATTTATATCAGATGGATGAGCTTTTTCTTGGGGGGGGGGGGGATGATCTGCTTTGCAATCTGTGCCCTAGTCATGTATGTATTTTGTTAAGATATTTGATAAATTCAATATATTTAAGGAACGACTCAAATTCGTGGCCAAATTATTTGAGTATAACCTGGTTTTGGTCAGTTTACACTGTTTTATAATCCAATTCCCTTATAATTTAATTTTAAAATCATTAAACAACTGTGGGCTTAGAATTTCATAATATTTTACTAGTTCAAATTATACCCCTCGGTGAGTATACACGAAAATGGCATTCAAATCAATTTTATAGTTGGCTTTGTAGAAAAACACAGCAAATGTAAATATTTTTTTTTTTTTTTTTTAAAATACTCTCTTTTAATCTTATTGCCATGCACATGATGCAGCTTGGAGCAGGAGATTTGCTTCATAAGCATGATAAGCAAGCCAGATGTTATCAGGTATACATTCTTTTGAAGTGATTGGGTACAGGATGGTATCTGGTTAGTATATAATATTTTCTGCTTGGCAGGGCGAAGTCGAGCCAGATAAACAATTTACTAACCAGGTGTCATCCCATACCCATTCACAACAAAACTGAGTAACTAATTCACCATTCAGGTGGCTTTGGTTTGTAAAATTGTTTCTTCCCCCTACATTACCCTCTTAAAATGTCTAATTATGACATCACTCTGTGTTGCTAATACTGTTTTGTATTAGGGCTGTCACAGTTCCCCGAAATAACCAAAAACTGCAGTCCAAGTTGTTCAGTTCGGTTTCGGTTCCATTTTTCCGGATTTCGGTTTGGGTCTTGTTTATATGTTAGAATCTGTTTTTATACAAAAAATGGAGTCAAAAATCACAAGAATGATGACGATAAAAGTGATAAACATAACATCACAGCTGAATTCTACTTCATTCTATGACAAAACACTTGTCACGAAAGGGTTAGATAATTATCAAAATCAGCAAGAATGATAGGTTGTAGGTAATTACAAGTTGGCCTAGTAGTCCTGAACACCAATGTCAAGATATTAATATGGTAAAGATTAGTTTTCAAGGTGAATGTAACATAACAAATAAAGATTTTTCAAGTTAATTTCATGAATTTAAGGAATAAAATAGATGTAAAGAACTGAACCGAAAAACACAGAACCGAACCGAAACCTGTCCCGAAAAATTTTGGAACCATGACAGCCCTATTTTGTATTGTCGGAGTGTTTCATGCAGTAATAATTAAGGTACAGACAATTTTGAAAAAAATCGGTAAAGGGAGAACAAAAAAATTCCATAATCAGTCAGGGGTGAGACTGAAATCCGTCATTTTTGAAAAATGATGGATAATCGTCATATTTACTAAGTACGTATTTTCGTCATTTTTGTCAATATGACTTACTATCGTCATATTTTCTTTTTCAACTTAATTCTTCTATCCTGGTTACATAAAAGCGAACTTTGAATTCACCGCTGAAAGAAGAGTGTTTACGCAAGTTTCATTTCATCCGGGTCACTAATTACTGCCGACCACATGCGTTAGAACATCAACATGGAAGGTGAAAGTTATTATTTAGCGGTAAAATGTCGAATTTTGGTAGAACTAATTCGCCATTTTTACATGGCTTTTAGCCCTATAAAAACATATAGTACACCGTCTGGAAGAATACGTACTTGTAGAGAAAAGTCTCGACAAAAAGTTAAAGCCATAAAAAAGTAGTGCGCCCCGTAAAACAAGCGAGATATTTCAGTGCGCCCAGACCCTCCATTTTGAAAAAAGACGGAATATCGTCATTTTCGTCTTCTTTCCTATTTAATGCAAATAAATTGACAAATAACTCTTCCACTCTTATTTTTGCTTGGGAAATTTATACTGTCAACATAACCAGTATTGTACTCAACTGTATTAGAGAAATGAAGTTCGTTTACGATGTTTTTTGTCCTTTTTTCGGTTGGTGGATCTAACATTTTTCAAAGAGAGGTAACTCGGTATTTTAGAAACACTCTAAATTTTTATGACTGTTTTTCGTCATTTTCTTAAAAATGACGAGTTTAAGTCATAATAAAAATTTTATTTTATGGCTTAAAATCGTCATTTTAAAAATGACGGATTTCAGTCTCACCCCTGACTGATAATGACAGTTAATCTTTTAATTGTCAACAGAAATTAATAATAATATTTTTAATTAAAAAGATTAAAACTAAACAAGACTCGTAAATAGATTTTTGATAATACTATCTACAATATCAGTACTGGGATATACCCTACGCATTCGTTACTGTAACACCTGACTGCTTTATTGTCACAGGTATCGGTGTGGAATGGCAACACATGTGCGTGCCGGTTATCTTACCTATGTTTACATTTTATTGCAGTTATGTATTTGTGTTTGTATACTGCACTGACCTGTGCAACTGTTTAAAGTTTCTTTGTTATCTTACTCTCCTGCATTAGAAGAAGTACATAGTTTTTTTTTTTTCCTACCCGGTGCTGTGTAGCATATGTCCATCTACACTGGTGACGACTGATTACACTGAATAGTGACTAAGCAGCTTTATATAGGGGCCCTCAGAACGTGAACATGAACAATCGAATATGGTGGACAAATTCCTTTTACAATTCCTGTTTAGCTTTAATTAAAACTGTTATAAAAGAATGATCATGATATATTTATATATCATGACAATGTATTGATTTTCAAGTAACCATGTATAAGTAATTACACCCCCTTTATGTTACAGATGTCAACCAATCGTAAACCAGGATTTTATTAAACAAAAAAAAAAAAAAAAATAGAGTTGGGCAGTGTTTAAACTCGCTGTAAATTTAGCTAGAAATGCAGGGCTGGCTGCTAGTCAAAACTATCAGCCGGTATTCAGCCCTGCCAAAAATCTACCAGCCCGAGAAAATAATTGTCTTTTATTATTTTTTTTTTTGAAATAATGTGAATGGGGGTCAGATCATCAAAACTTTGATCTTGAATCTATAGGCTGAAGAATTCTACCTTTTTGCTTTTAACACTTTGACACCAATACCAATACCATTTATTTAGTTGATTTGGAAGAGAGTAATCAAATTAATGAATTTTAATTAATGAAAAATTTGAACAAGTCCAGCCAGGGGTTGATACATGCAAATCTGTTAGTCCGCAGCCAAATTTGTGCATCTCGGGCGGTCGGGCTTAAGGTAAATTCAAACACTGGAGTTGGGGTAAAAATAAATTTTCATACACCCAGCTGAAGCTAGCTTATTATAGGAGAACCCCTTTCCCCCAACAAGTAAAATATTAGTTTATTTTAACTATGTATTTCTTGAATGTACTTTGATTTAAACCTTAATTAAATTTTTTTGAAAAAATGAAAATTTCTATATAAAAGGTAAAATTATAATGAGCATCATAATTAGTCGGACATTTTAATACTCACTCTATCTTAATCATGCCGTGATATCATAAACGTAAAACAACTAACCTGCTTTCTAATTTGTACACTTTTACAACTTGATTGACTGCACAACCCGATGAAAAACAAGATGTGTTTGTGAAACACTGATTCCCCCGTATGTCAGCTTATGGCGAAAATTAAAGTATCTCAAATGCAAATATATAAAACAGTGCTTCAATTGAAATTTCAATTTTTTTTCGGAGTTTAGAGCATCTGTGCTTCTTTGTGTCACATTTGTGCATCATCAGCACAGTGGGATCAAAGACTGCCATGGGATATTTCATTTAAAGTGCAAAAATAAATGCTATTAATGTTGTGCAGATCAGAATAAAGAATCCAACACAATTAGACTTCCCATATGGGGCCCCTGTATTTAAAACTTTTTCCTTGATGATAAACTTGAGTGTTGTATTACAGTATCACAAAATATCAACTGCATATTCATTTATGCAATTACTAAAATGTACAGTATATGCTAACAGACTATAAAGAAATCATACAATTTCTTTTTAAAAAGAAGAAACGTAGAAAAGAATATGAACCACGTGGTCTGAAACAAGTCAGCGAATTTTCTTAAAATTACGCATTTAATTACGCTAAAACAGTCTAAATGAAAGTGTAAACTTACAATAACACTCTGTCCAGCAAATTCTCGGCATCTGCCATCAAGCCAGGCAACAATTTTGTTGTAAATTCCATCAAGACACTGGAACAGACAAACTTTTCCCACGCACCTGCCAGCCACGGGGTTGACAATCGTATCGAGAGGGTGAAAGCGCCGAGCCGACGTAGATCAGCTCCAAACGACATTCGGTAATTTCATAGAAAATACGTTTATAGAGCTGATTTAGCGATGAAAACGAAATAAACAAATAAAATTTATTAGAAACAACACAAAAACAAATCTTTAAAGTATAGATAAATAAATAAATAAAAATTCAACACGGAATAAAGTTTTCACATGAATAATTATGAAAATGGGCGGAGCTAAGTCACGTGATATTCATGAGCTCAACCTCATGGAAGTCCTTAACCTAGCTGCGGTTCTGTTAAGATTTCGGGAGGTAGTTCTCCGGATGGAGGAGAGGATTGGTAAGACTTCTCTGAGAACCGCCTTATAGCTGGAATTTAATTCCATTTGCCAGGGAGCCGACAAGGCCATAGAGCAATGGGGGGACAGAGTTATGGACAGTGGCCATAAAGACCTCACCAGAGATTTTTCAAGAGCAGGAAATAGTTCTTTCTGCTCTTGGGTGGAGTGATGGCGGGGCGGGGCAGGGCAGCAGGTAATTAATAATCCTCCTGGTAAACTGGAAGAGGCGATTAAGCGATGATTGGCCTATCAGCTTTGTCGCCGAGCTGTTACCCGTCCTCCCAGGGGCATAAGATCCGTGTCTAGATATCGCGGAGATGACTACAGTATATCTCTGTCTCAAAGTCCTTACAGACAGAACTTGGATTTTGATTCTCAAAAATTTTACGTTGAGCAAAGGGAACGTAATGATCGTAGGGAATGCACTGATCCGAGGAAACCTGAGCGATCCTGTGTGCCCTAAGATAGAGGTCCCGTGTCAAGTCACGGGATCGGGCCTCAGACAGGCAGTATCACTACTGCAGTGACTCGGGTGACAGCAGTAGGGGCTACAGTCACATACGCAGTCCCGTACGGGACAAGTCATTGAGTCGAAGACATTCTCGTGTTTCAAGGTCAGTAGACCGTTACAAATGTCAGGACACAGTACTGACAGTAATGCAAAATTTGAACGTCGTGCGTCAGACTCCGACACCAGAGTCAAGTTTTATGAACCGAATGTAAATGCGACTAAAGTAAAACATCAGTCAGGTCAAGTAGTCAAGGCATGAGTTCAGGTGCGTGGCGTATCCCTATACAGATAGGTGGTCAGCCAGGTAAAGCAACAATGGACACTGCAGCCGACATTACGATAATCTTGGGGTGGTATATAAGCCATTGAGGCCTCAGCCCGAGGTCTTAGAGCACCACTGTTAGGATAGCTGGCAAGGGGGCAGGAATAACCGCCTAGTACCTCGGAAAACTAAACTACGTATCGGTGATTACGATTTTATACACCCAATTTATGTTGAACTTTACAAGACTTCTATCAGGGATTGATTTCTTGCATGCATATGGTGCCGAAGTTTCATGTGTAGCGGGAATGCTAGGGATCAAGGGCATAGACAACTTTTCCCTGAGCGCTGAAGCGACAGTGCCAGTACTCGATGTGGTTTCAGTCCGCATAGTGCAGGTCCCTCCGCACACTGCCCACGTTATCGTGTGCGCCCTTAGTGCGGAAATGCTAGCGTTTATGCTGGAACCTGCCGGTGTTTTGAGGTCTGGGATAATGCCTTCGCAGACATACATGTAAACTGCCACAGGAGAGAAGGCCAAACTGTGTATTCTAAACATGGCTGATAGGAGTCATCAAGTCTAGTACTAAAGTAGGCCAAGCTGCTGTGTCTGTTAAGTGTACCGACCCCACAGTGCGCCGAATGTCATAGAGGGGGAGAGGAGTAATAAGCATATAACCCTACTTCTCTATCAATTAGGGAAGAATGTGCCTGTAGAGGTCAAAACTCAGACTTTCGTGCTAGTTAAATAATTTCCAGACAGCTTTACTGTAGAGGACCTTGACTTCGGAAAATTCTCCGAGATCGAGCATCGGATAAATACTAGCGACGCATTTCCCGTTAAATAGCATACCCCCTACTGATCATCGAAGAGTGCATGGCTACTCTAGCGGGGAATAGCTGTACGTTCTCCAAGCTGGATGCCGATGCAAATGCCAATGCGGTTTATTGGCAAATTAAGATAGCTCCGGTAGACCGAAAAAAAAACGGCCTCCATTACAAAATACGGCCTTCGAATTAACGAGAATGGGGTTAGTCTATGTAATGCCTCCGTGACCTTTGTTTGAGCCATCAATCTGGTATTACACATGCTAAACTGGAAGATTGCTTTGGCATTCCTCGACGATGTTTTAGTGCTAGTGGCTTTATCACATGCTCACCTTGATAACCTGCGATTCCGAGCGTATGTTCTCAAATTCAAAACTTCTGAATTGTGAGCTGTTCAAAACTGAAGTTGGGTTCTTAGGCAGAACCCTTAGAGAGCACGGAGTCGAGGTGGAGGCCCAGTACATTGAGGCAGTGCATGACTGGTCTGTACCTTGCTAGGTGAAGGGTGTTGAACTTTTTCTTGGCTTCGCTAACTAAATCGCAGTTTTCTTCCCCAGCTAAAAAGATGCAAGTCCCGAAAAGGCTAGTATCGTTTAAGAGTAAGTTGTCGGGAGAATCCGCATACAGCGACCGGGGTACTGTAAACCAACTATTATTCGCATAATCTCTTATTTCTTGCGCGACAAAGGAAACATTCTCTACAAATACAAATAAATGGTTCGCGGCGATTAATATTTGGAGTTAAAGTAGGCCGCGAAACCGGATATTTTTCGCACTCGAATAAAAATCGGTTTACAGTAATTCTTCTGTATACGACATAGCTAAGCCGCTGGGTGCTACAAGTTCAGGGTCGGGTCCTGGGGACCCGGGGAGAATGTGGAAAACTAGAGGAGACCCGCAGCCAGCAGAACAAGTGGGTCCTAACGTGGGTACCCGAAAACGAGTGAGGGAAAGGTGAAGTAAGCCAGATACTCTCAGTACGCCCAAGAGACTTACAGCCACTAAGGCTAGAGATGATTGTGTTTGTTTAAAGTCTAACCTTAAAAAGTGGATGTTACAGTGCGACAGCTGCCGGGACTGGTTTCATCCTGGGTGTTTGGGTATAAGTGAGGCCTATGCTAAGTCGTTTCTTCACTATACTTGCCCCGAATGCATTCCCATCAGTGCCAGCCGTCATTAGATTATTGGATAAGGGTCCTGCAATGATGCGGGAGCATGTGCAAGTATAAGATAAGGTTTGCATCTGGTTAGATTGTATTTGCACATGAATATATTAAAAAGCGCATGTCTGATATTTTACCTGTTTTTCAAGGTTACAGATCATGTCTAAGGAAATAGGTGAATTTGTATTCGAGGGCGGAAGATCCGCAGGAGAAGAAATCAGGGATAAGAGTGAAGTGGAACCGGAGGTTTCGGCTGGGACTTTCGGAAGGGAATTCTGTTCTTGTGGAAAGCAGAGGTAGAGACCGGATATGACAGGAGAGTTTCCTCCCGCCGGGAGAGGAGTTTCAGTAGAAGGAGAGCCTTCTTGGGCTGGGATGGTATATTTGCATAGCAGAGCAGAGCCCCACAGTTATTCATCGGGACCACAAATTTTATAATCATGGTGATTTTTCTGATTGCCATCACGGCCATTATAGCGAGAAACGCTATAAAAGTAAGAATTGCATTTCATTATCAGTCTAAAGTATTATGTGTAATGTGTGAACCTGACACTCTTAATGAAGCATTTGTCAATTGCTTGCATATATTACAGATATTGCTTTAAAAAAATGTTTTTAATTTTTAGTGGTACGGATAGCATTCATTTATATTGTGCAATAAGGCCCGCCACAGCAGGGATCCACTTTATTCATGTATCATTATATTTAAACTTATTTTGATTTTAAATTTGATCTTATGATTAGATCACCTGTGTTTTTGTATTCCATGTACCTAATCTAAATTTAAACAATATTTTCTTCACAGAAGTGCATGGCCATTTTCCAAAACTCCTTTAGAAACTTTATCTAGTTTTAATTATTTTTTCTGCTGACAATGCAGAAATGTAGGGATTCTCTGACCAAAAAAAAAAAAAAAAAAAAAAATTGGTTCGTCCTTGACGTTCTCGTATACTTGCATACTGAATCAAACATTCTATATCGGAAGCATATTGTACATGTAGTGGTCATTGCCGCCTATGAGTTAGTCGCAAGTTCGTCACGATATCTCGAAATGGACGCATATAAATTTTCAAGCGAATAACATTTAAATTAAATAATGATGAATTAAAAAAATGACATATAATAACGAATTTCAATGATGATAAGCACTTTCACTTAGCTTAAACTCGATATACAAGTAAACTTGTTGTATACACTCCATAAAATTCAATTAATTGACTTGAAAAAAATATGAATTATTACCTATGCATGATTAATCATCAATATTTTCATAATTAAGGACAGATGACCCCCCCCCCCCAAAAAAAAAAATGAATGCCTGGATTGGTATATATTTTTGGACCAATTTGGGTTGTAAATGATTCAAATTATAAATTTCTAAAATATTAAGATATCGTAAACTTTCTATGATGTTCAAAAATCTACCTTTTTGCAACCCTCCTTATTAATCTACTCAAATCTTTGTCGCTTAAAATCACATTATTTTGATACTTAGAATAAAAAAAAATTAAAATCTATGCGGTAATGTGATTTTAAGCGACAAAGATTTGGTTATTTTCAAAAATTTTTTATCAAATTTTGTTTGTTCATGTATCACCAGTCCTTAAAGAAAATATTTTTAAATAATACATTTAGTTTTATTTTACCTTGCCAAAATGTTTCGAATGAAAAAGTGTCTTTGTCGAACTGGTATATGCGGTAATCACCAAAAGACCGAACGTTCATTTGACGATGGACACGAGATAGAGACAAGGTATCTAGAGATATACAAGGTATGCACGTATACTATGAATTAAATGCCAATCAATTTCTAGCAACCAGTCCTGAACCTTTATACTTTAGAATGATGGGTATCCCTAGACCAGGTAATTATGGAGGAGTTGTTTATTTTATCTGCATTTAGAGGAAATGTCAGATCTAGAAATTCTTCATGTTATGTTCGTTGATTAATTTTATCTGAATGGTGTCATTTGTTTTGACTTAGCTATATAGTAACAATGCAGGTAAATTATGAGTGGGCTGAATGCTGTAAGCTGCCAT